CCAGACGCCCGCCGTAATCAATTGGCCCAACATCCTCCATAATCATCCCACTATCGATGCTGACGTGGCCATTTCGCGCCCAAGCCTACATAGTTTCTCTCTTCTCATCCTCTTTCCCTTCTCCTATGCCTTTTTTAATTGCCCATCCCTCCCACTATTATTTGTTTTGTTGACGATTCTATTTCTGTGCATATTTCCACCCAACTTGTCGATCTTGCCTACTGGCACAGGCTAGCACAGCCCTCAAAGGCAAATCGGCAGCACACGCAATTATTGATTTTCTGCACGTTCAAAATTTTAGTTATTTGCCCCAAGTAGCTTCCACATTTGTTACTGTTTCTCCACCTCTGACGATGGGCACTTGTAAAAGCTCGAAAGCTCAAAAAAATTGTTCCAGTGATCGACCATATGTCTCCTTTACCAAATTACATTCCTGGAATACGAGTATTCTCTCGCATTCGTGAAAATTTGATTTTGTGAAGATTTTCACGTTGGGTTAATTGGCCGGTCGTGTGACTTTCGTTAAGATGAGGGACAGCCTCCACAGAAATGGCCTTTGTCGTCGGACAATTATTCCATTCCTTATTTCCAAGCCCCTCTCTCCTTGTTCTTTCAAGATGGCTAAGTCCACCTTTAAAGGCCCTCCATTTCATCCTCCCCTTTACCGTGTACTCCTGTTGAAAAAAAAACCGTCTTGTGGCCGGGGATTCCTCCTGCCGTTCGCTCGAGCAGGAGATCTCTCTGATGTTTACTCTTCAAAACTAGTTTTAACGGCCTGGATTTCCTCCCTTGAAAATTAGATTTGCCCTTAATGTTTAGTCGGAAATGTTTCAGTATCTAAAGCTGATCATCCTCACTAATTAAATCCTTTCAGCACTCCTTTAAGGATTTGGTGTGATAATCTATTCTACGCTTTGGATTGCCATTGGCTGATTAAGGGAGCCCATGAAGAATAATTCACTGTGAGCTATCCACCTCAAGCTCGAGCTCGAATTGACCTCGAATCGCTGTCAACAAACCTTGAAATGTGAAGTTTTGTTCCGCCACTACCAAGGAAACTCTTCCCTCGCGAGTATCCTAGGCGCGCTTCGGATACGAAACGAGAAAGTGACATTAGAGGTTACGATAATTACCAGCGAAGTGGGATCACTATTTAATTGCACTACTACTTTCAGGAGCAGCCGTCGGGGAGGCGATAGAATTGGAAGCTATTGCTCGTATCGTCGAAAATCAAATTCCGGAATCACTGTTACTAGCCTCAATTGAGCGTTTATGACAACACATATGAGGCTGATAATCTAAAACAAGATACAAGAACTAGCAGAGAGTGAAAATGTTAAATGTGTTTTTGCCGGAAAATGTATAAGTGGAATGGCTTCTGATGATTTTTATGAGAACGACGACATCGTCTTACATCCAATCATCCTGCTAATGATAGCGTCGAGTGCTTAAAATGTCCATCGTTGTGGCAGAAATAATAGAAAGGAAGGGGCCTAGTCATTTAAGAATACGCAGAATTACAGAAGCAGCCATCAGGAAGGCTCGAGAGGGGAAAACTATCGCGAGTATCCTTGACGAGCTCCGGATCGAAAGGAGTAAACGACCTTAGAGGCCACGATAATCATTAGCAAAATGGGGTCGGTACTACAAGATACCCCCCCTATTTAATATAATTTTTCTACTGACAGGGAAGGTAAAGACAATAATAAGTAAATATCGATAATAGTGCATTTCGGTTCGATCCATGGAAAAACGTGAACTAACCGATGAAATAGCAGGTGACATCTATACGACTGACATATATCTCGATATTTCCTTCAATTTCCTGCTAGGCAATCTTTAGTCACATCACCGGTAGATGCAGCTACAGTAGACTCTTCACCTGATCATCTTATCCCGGATCCACTGAAATTGGCACAACGCGACATGATTCCTATTCGAAAGTAACCAGGCCCGTTCTAGTTCTACCGTCTGTTCAGCACAGCAATACCCCTAGTAACCTTATTTATGTTCCTAGGCCAATTTTCAAACTAATCTACCCTCATCCTCTCTATCCCTTTGTCGTTTAATTCATAGCTTACACTCATTACTTTCTCAACTACAAGCGTTCAAAAAGAAGTCTTGTTAATAATTCGCAGATTTGTTTAATTTAGTTAACCCAATTGTGAAAAAACTCGCGCAGTCGTAGCTCAAATCGGTAGAACGTTGACTGCTTCTTATTTTGCAGTATCAAGCATGATTTTCATTTTAATGTGCCGTCAGTGGTGTTACTCATCACAAACTTTCTATATAATCCATTTTCACATATTACACTT